CCCCGGGGGGCAGTTTCTTTGCGCCTCGGGTAGGGAGCAGGTGTTCCCAGCTCCGCTTCTGGAACTGCGTGCGAACCCCCAGGAGAACTCGCTCCTCTGCAGAGCCAGGAGCCTGCACCTTCGGAACAACGCCGGTGACTGTGACAGGCGGCCAAGGGTGGGGGCGTGGGGGGAGGGCCACGCATCTGCCACAGGACGGCTGTGTGGACCTCGGCAGGTCACTAACCCTCTCTGAGTATCACCTTCCCCACGTGTGAAATGGAAACACCTATCTCACAGGGAAGCCAAGGGACAACAGAACACTCCATGAACGGCAGTTTGCAAAGTAACCTTGTGCGCTCACGTTTGTCCCCAGTTCTTTGAGGTCTAGGAAAGCCGTCCCAGGGCCCTGCCCCCGGGGCCTGTAGCGTCCCTTGGGTGCAGGTGCAAGGCGAAGCTCCCTTCAGACTGAGGAAGGCACCTCTTTCTTCCCCAAATCCTTCCTGGAGCTGGGGTACGCGGTTCCCGCCCCGCCTCCAAGCCCCTTGCCTGCCCTCCTGGGCCCACTTCCGGGCCCAGGGCTGTGAGGCCAGCTCGGCCTGACCAAGGCCCCACTGGGCAGCTCGCCAAAACACTGTGCAAACAGAGGGAGGGGGGGGGAGGGGGAGGGGAGTGACTCCCATTCCTGGGCCTCTCTCCTGGGACCCTCCTTCTCACGGCGGCTCCCCTTGCAGCCACTTCCCTGGGGTACAGGGAGCACCCCAGACGGTGCCCCCTCTCCGTGCCTGGGTCTCCCCAACCCTGGGTGCAGGTGGGCGTGTGCCAGCAGAATCCCTTCAGCACCACACCCTTAGATGTGGGTGAGGATAAGATGCCTTTACGATAGCCCAGGGACTCCTTCCTACACCGGTGTGAGCCCCAGCCCCCTGAAGGGAGACCCTCCCTCCGGGAACCTCTCCTCCGGCTGTCAGGCGGCAGGGACCACCTCTGCTCTGCTGGTCCTACCTAGGACCTCGAGGCCACAGCCCAGGGCCCCAGGGACGGCTCAGAGGGGTCGGGGTGAAAACCGCTGTCTGTTCTTGCAGGGTGGGGAATCCCACTTCTAGGAACCTGAGATGCAGCCCGACGCGGCCACTGCACATCGGGCCTCCCACGCGCCTGGTCAGAACTAGAGCCCCCAGGCTACGTGGAAACTTCCAGAAATGAGCTCTGGCCACACCTATCCCAGGGACACAGGCAGGTAATCAGGGGAGAAAGGAGCTCCAGCAAGGGTTAGGCAGCGCTGGAATTTTTTTTAAACAAAATGCTTTTTTGAAAAGCTAACTTGCAGACACCACCCCCCGCCACGCCGCCCTATGACGTGAAGAGGCAAGGCAGAGATGTACTGATTCGCTGTGTGCATGTGCGGGGGGGGGGGGGGGGGGGCTGATCTCTTGCTTTCCCCTCCCTCTGCCAGAGACCCCGCAGCTCCAAGAGCGCAGTGGAAGGCAGCTGGCAGCCAGCGATGCTGGTCTGCTGTTTCCTGCTCTGCCCAGTGCCCAGGCCGGTCTGGCCCGCAGCAGAAATCGGAGCAACCGCCAATCACCTGCCCCTTGCAGGCAAAACCCTGCGGCCAGGAGGGACCGCTTCCTCTCTGTTCTCCCAGGCAGTGCAGCGCGCACCCCAGCAAGACAGTCCTCCCTCCTTGCGCCTGCAGGTCAGCGAGCCCCCACCCCACCCCCAGCTTCTCTGCAGCCTGAGCGCCCAGGGGAGGGTCTCAGCTGGGCGGCCACCCCCTTCGGGTACTCACTTGTCTTTGTGGCCTTGACCTTGGCCACCAGTTTCTGAACGCCAGTCACATCTCCGTTCTTGACTGCGAGGATCAAGTCCTGTTCACGACCCATTCCGGCTCCGGCCTTGGGGTCCAGGGCAGAGGCAGGGAAACTGGTCCGAGGTGAGGCGTCAGGTGGCCATGGCCGTGGAGGGCAGCGCGTCTGGTGTCCCCAGCAGGGACGGATACTCCCGCCAGGTGCTCCTGGAGCTGCCGCCACAGGCAGGAAAGCCGGTCTCCGAGGGGTGGAGGCTTTGTGGGAATCTGGACAGATATCAGCTTGCAGCTTCCGACGGCCCCAGGAAGGGCTGGGACTGGGCGCGCCAATCTTCCCGGCTTGGCTTGGGAGCACCAGTGCCCACCTGGAGCGCATTCCCTCGGCCTCAGGCTGCAGCGGTGGCCCGTCTCGGGGTCGGGAAATGGTGCGGAGCCTCTGCCGACAGCCGGGCCGGAGCCTGCAAGGGTCCCGGATTCGGGGCAGAGACTGAGCCAGACTGGACAGGACTGCCGGGGAACTCCCCCCCACCCCACCCCCCGCAAAAATATAAACCCCACCCTGGCAGCCCCTCGCGGGAAAGGAGGGGCCGAGCCACACCAAGAGGAAAGGGAGCCGCCATGCCCGCCCAGTGTGTGTAGGGGGGAGGTGGCATTTGGGAGGGGGAGGCTGAGTCACCGTGGCCCTGGGGCAACCTGGCAGCACCTCAACCTTGGGCAGGAGGGGCCTTGGCAGCACGACACACACGGGCAGGCCACGCCAGCAGCCCGCTGGCAACCCAGCACCCACAAACACTGTTGGTCCAGGGGTGGGGCTGGGCAGGGGTCACTCCCTGGGAGCCGCGCCTGCCCCCAGCTTCCCCCCTACCTGGGCTCACCTTCCCAGCGGGCGTCCAGCCCCAGGGGGTGGAGGGGGCCCCTACGGCTCCCCCATTTCCGGGGGCAGGTTTACAACGCTGGGCTGAGAAGCCTCCCAGCACCTGTTGCTGGCCCAGCCTCACCCCCGTGTGGGGCTGGGGAGCAGCTGGGACTGGGGACAGACACGGAGCCGGGCGCCGCCGGCCCCTGGGGCTCCCGCGCCCACCCCCCAGCCTGACCCGACGCCCGGACCCTCGGCTTCTCCGCAGAAAGGCTTACGTCAGTTCCTCAGTGGCGGCGATTTGCTGCCAGAGACTTGCGGCAGGAGACCCCGCGAAGGCCTGGGGGGCCCCGGCCGGGAGCCCCTCACTTCCCCCACTGCCGCGCGAGCCCAAGCCCAGGGCACCCGCCCTCGGGGCCCGCGGCCCGCGCCAGGGCGGGGAAGGCGCGGCGGGCAGTGCCCATGGGTCCGGACGGCTCCACCCGCCCCCCGGAATGCCCCTCCAGCGCCCGCAGCCCCCGGCCGAGCCCGGCCCTGCCCCGGGAACAAAGCGGCGGGAGGCACCGGGAGGCAGATGCGGGAGGACGGAAAGAGGGGGCGCGCGGGGGGCGCGCAGAGCACGGGCGCCCGCCGCTCCCGCACGAAAAGTTAGTTAGTGCCCGCCCCCGAGGGTGCCGACCCCAGCCCCGTCCCGCAGGCTCACCTCTCCCCCGCCGCCCCGCCGGGGGTCCGGCTGGCCCCGCTCGGCCCCTGGCACTCGGGACGCTGGCTCCCGCGGCGCCCCTGCCCCCTTTCTCCTCCTTTGCCACCGCCGGCTCAGCGCCTCCCGCAGGAAATCCCGCCCCTCCCCCCTCCCGCCGGATCGGGAGCGGAGGGACCGTCCCGGCCGCGCAGTCGGGCTGTCAGTCAGCGCCCGCGGCCCCGCCCCCAGCGCGCCGGCCCCGCCCCCGTCGCGCCAGTCCGGACCCGGGGCGCCGGCTGGATCGGCGCATGCGCGCAGGTGAACCGCAGCGGGGGACTGGGGGCGAGCCTTCGCGCCGCTGCGTCTGGGCTGTGCAGCCGGGGCGACACGGGGCTGTGGGATCCAGACTCCAGGAGGAGCTGCCCGGGTGTGGCCGACGAGGTCGCAGGACCCTCCTTGGGGAGTCCTGTTCCTCCACGCCCCTCGCCCCTCGCGGGGGCTCCCGCGACGACCTCCGCGCGCGGAGTCGGGGACCCACAGCCGCTGGCCGGAGCAATGGTGCCACCTAGCGGACGGTGCCGGCGCGGCCCACGGGGCGGCCGCTGGGACCCCACCCTTGAGGAGGTGCCGCAGGAGGACTGGGGCGGCGCTTCAGCACCATCGTGGGCCGGACAGCGCCCCCCCCCGCGGGAACGGGCCTCAGCGCTCCCCTGAAAGGGGCCCAAGAGCCAGCAAGAACCCCGAACCTCCCCGGACCGCCCCAGACCACCCTTGGTTTGCAAAGCGCTCGGTCCCTGGAGCCCCCTCCCCTACTTGCCCAGAGCAGCGCAGGGCCGCGGAGGGGAGGGTCCCACGTGTGACTAGCCACGCAGCTCTTCCGGACGCCCATCGCTCAGGTGTCACTCGAAGGGAGCTCCGAGGGGTCCTGCGCGCCCAGAAACCTGCAAGCTCAACTCCCTAGCCCAGGGAGTCCCGGCACGTGGGGTCGGGCCGGCGCTAGGACCCAGCACAGCCGGGAGTCCGGCGGGTTCTGGGAGGCGGCGCGGGGGAATCCGCGGGCGCTAGGGCCGCGCGGAGTGCCGGCGCGGGGCGGGGCGCGCGCAGGCGCACTCGGCGGCTGCATGGAGCCGGAGCCGGAGCCGGAGCCCGCGACCGTGGAGGTGCCCGCGGGGCGCGTGCTGAGGTTCGCCGTGGGGCGGGCAGTCTGCGGGGGGCGCGCGGCTAGGGCACGCGGGCCCCGGCCGCGCGGCGCTGACGGCGCGTCCTCTGCTCCCCCAGCGCCCGGGAACTGCTCGCCGCCCGCTCGCGGCCCCAGAAGCTGCCCCAGCGGTCGCATGGCCCCAAGGACTTCGTCCCCGACGGCTCGGCGGCCCAGGCCAAGCGCCTGCGCCGGTGTCGCGAGGAGCTGTGGGGACTGCTGGCCGAGGAGCGCGTGGAGCGCGTGTGAGGGGGCGGGCGCGCCCGGGGCGGGCGGCGGGCGGGAGGGCGCGCGGGCACTCGCGGGCGGCCCGAGACCCACGAGTCCCCGCCGCCCGGCAGGGGCAGCTTGGTGGCCGCCGAGTGGAGAGCGGAAGAGGGCTTCGTGGAGCTGACGTCCCCTGCGGTGAGCGGGGCGCCCCGGGGCAGGGGGACCCGCGCCCGCGCGGCCCCCTGGGTGACCCTGGATCCGGCTCCCACGCAGGTAAATTCTGGCAGACCATGGGCTTCTCGGAGCAGGGCCGGCAGCGGCTTCACCCCGAAGAGGCCCTGTACCTGCTGGAGTGTGTGAGTGGGGCCCGGGGCGGGAAGGGAGGAGTGGGGGGCGCGGTTTCTAGCGGTGCGGCCGGGTGGCTAGTGCAGGTGCAGGTGCAGGGGGCCGGGCAGCCTGCCCGCCGTCCTGGGGGCAGCCGCGTGCTTGCCGTCCTCGCGTGGGAGCGCCGGTGCCACTGGAGGCAGGAGGTTGCTCCCTGGGCTGAGCTCCGGCCGCACTTCCAGGGCTCCATCCAGCTGTTCCACCAAGACCTGCCGCTGTCCATCCAGGAGGCGTACCAGCTGCTGCTGGCCCAGGACCCTGTGGCCTTCCTCAAGTACCAGGTACCTGCCACCCTCAGCCACCCGCTGAGCCCGTGAGTGTTGGCCAGTGGGGAACCAGGCCCTGTGCCTGGGCTACGCCTGGCACAGACCAGGGAGGCCCAGGCCCTCCTGCTGGCAGCTGGATAGTGACAGGGACGTTGTGGGGAGAAGCGAGAGTCTGGGATGTTCATCTGGGTGAAAGAAGGCAGAGATGTTTGGCCTGGGGTGTTGGTGAGGCCGGCTAGCAGGGAGGGACAGGAAGTGGACAGACCTCAAAAATGAGTTGGAGGAAGAAGGGACGGGACTTTGCCGATGGACTGGACGTCAGAGTTGAAGAAGAGAATTGAGGGTCAGGCCCGTGATTTGATGGCTGAACAGCGGTGACATTGTTTTCTAGCTGGGGAAACCGGGGAGGGGAGCGGACGCGGGAGGCTGGGGTGGGTCGGAAGAGCTGGGTGTCAGAAACGTTATTTCGAGGTGCCTGTTGGACATTCACGCAGGGAGCTGGGCAGAGGCCGAGAGTGTGGGAGAGGTTAAGGCGAGGGACACGCGTGGGCACAGGAGCACGTGGCCGGAGGAGAGCGCGGGGCCTGGGACCTGGGCGGTTAGGGAAAGACGGGGAACAGGAGTGGACCGAGAGTGTCCAGGGGCGCAGGAGAAGTCAGGGAGGGCTGAGCTGCGTTTCCCTTTGCTGAGAGGCCAGGCAGGGTGGGGGAGACGCCCCGATTCGTCCCTGTGATACGGGGGCAGGAGACGCGACACAGAGACGGTTCTCACCCGCGTCTGGCACCGTGGGCGTGGGCACGGTTCTTTGCTGCATCCGTTGCTACCAGCTTTTTGGAACTTGCACGTAAGCCTAGAAATTGCTGCGTGTCACTCGTGCCCAGAGTAAGGCCTGGGAAAGGACAGGTACTGGAGAGACAGACCTTGCTTTGGGGGCGTGTACGATGGCGTGTGGTCCAGCCAGTCCCGGCTTGGAAGTCTGGGGGTGTCCAGGAGAGGAGTGGAAGGGGTGCAGGAAATCTTGTATCTGCAGAAACTCTTTCGTGTGTTAAAGAGTGGGTATCTGAGCTTTTCTTCCTTTTTCTTTTTTAACCTCCGAGGTCTTCAGCCACCTGAAGAGACTGGGCTACGTGGTTCGACGGTTCCATCCAAGGTCAGCCCCTGTGCCTTCGCCCTCCCGCTCATTCCCGTCCTGGGACCTGGCCAGTGAGCCTCAGGAGGAAAGTGGCCCTGCACCTAGAGCGCAGCTCCCTGGACGTGGACCAGGGGCCCGAGGTGGAAGTGCTCTGTGGAGGGCTCGTGGGGACAGGTCCCGTCCTCGTGCTTTGTCCTGGGTCGTCAGGCGACCACTGAGCCCCGCAGCTCACTGTGTGTCCTGGGATGCAGGGTGGGACTGTGCCTGGCTCCTGGGAGGTGTGGGGGCAGATTTGCCGAGTAGGACCAAGTAAGGAATTCACAGTTGTGAGGTTTCACGTGACTCGTGCGAGGGTGGGTGTTCTCTGTCACCTTAGAATCCAGCGTTGCTAAGAGCCTCAGACTTTGACGGTATGTCGTGAAAACCTGAAGAGACGCATCCTTTACTCCCTAAGGGTGCGGTCTGGCCTAGAGAAGTAGCGCTGATGTGCGCACGCCACAGTGTTCGTGCACTAGCACTCGCTGACCACTGGCCGGTGCCAGGCCCTGGGTCCGTTGCTGGAAACGGCAAAATCACGGCCCTGCAGAGCTGGCACTTCCCCGGGAACTCCGAGTCGGTGTGCTTGGAGGTCTGTGTGTTCAGCAAGTGCAGGCGGATTACCAGGAGTGCGTCCCTCAGAGCAGGACGTCCACTCGGACTTTCTGTGAGCATGTCCTGTCTGTGCACCGGACATGACCTGTGCAGCCATGGCACTGAGTCATTTTGACTGATTTAAATTGAACTTAATAGCTACTTGGGCCAGTGGCTGTAGTGATAAGGGGTCATGTCCGTAGTAATATTATTAAACAAACAAAAAAAAGGGATTGCAAAGCATTTTGTTGGTGCATTGCCATTTTTGTCAGAAAAAAAAGCATGGAGCAAGGTTAGTGTATACATATGAGGCTGGTAGAGCTTTTAGTTTTCATTTTAATTTTTCTGTATTTTCCAAGCCTTCTGGCTCTATGTGGTTTTTCTCACCAGTGATAAATCACTTATTGCTGACTCTGGGAGTCCTAACTCCAGAGGCCTGGGGGCGTCTGTGGACTCCCTCTATGGACCCCTTGTGCAGATCCGTCCGGGGCCCTGCCAGTCCCCTTGGGCATCAGGTGCAGAGGTGGAGCTATTGTCCCCAGCCCCCACGGTTGTCACCCCACAGCTCTGTCCTGTCCCCTTACGAGAGGCAGCCCCCACCATTGTCACCCCAGCTCTGTCCTGTCCCCTTATGAGAGGCAGCCCCCACCGTTGTCACCCCCAGCTCTGTCCTGTCCCCTTATGAGAGGCACCCCCACCGTTGTCACCCCCAGCTCTGTCCTGTCCCCTTACGAGAGGCAGCCCCCACCGTTGTCACCCCCAGCTCTGTCCTGTCCCCTTACAGAGGCAGCCCCCACCGTGTCACCCACAGCTCTGTCCTGTCCCCTTACGAGAGCAGCTGAACTTGGATGCAGCGCCCAGCTCTTGGAGGCGTTCCTGGCAAGAAAGAGGAGGCGTTCGAGCTCTCGTAGTGCTCCCCCCCAAGCCACCCGGGAGGGCTCAGCCTTAGAGCCGCCTCGGGCGGTGGCACACAGGCTCAGGCAACACCAGGGGCCGAGTGCAGCTCAGCCACCGGGAGCAACGCACTGCTTTTCCCGTCCCTCAGGTCCGTGAGTAAGAAGGCCAAGGCTCCGGACGACTCCCTGCAGCCTGAGCCTGGCGGCCTCCGGCCCTCCTTCCTACAGCCAGCACGGCCCACGTGTGGAGGAGAAAACCCCAGGAGTCGAGCCCAGGACAGGGCCCAGCCAGCCCCTTTCCTCTTCCGGGTCCCTGGGCCCTGCCCTGGCCTGGCCGTGGAGGGGATGGGGTGCAGC